AATTTAAAAAATCTAAGTTTTTCTGGCCAATTTCCACCGGTGATTTGGCCGAAAGGACCAAATCTGCTAAAGAAAGCATAGTTAAAGGACTAAACTGTTAGTTTTAAAAGTGATGGAGCGAAATTAAAACCCCCCCTATAGTCATAAGATCAAAAGTGTAAATTTTGCTCATTTGTTAAATTAATAATAGTCCGTGCATCGCATGAGACACTTACTAGTCATATGTAAAATAGCAATTTTGACAATGTCTTAATAGAACTCATCATATTCGACAAGAAATGTTCATTATATAAGAAAAATTGTTAAGATCAACCGAGTAAGGCTTTTTATATTACTAAAATACTCTGACTTTCAAACGTGTTTCTTACTTACGTAAGATCATATTTGCAATTGACCAATATTTCCATTACATCTCTATCTACAAGACTACAACTCTAATTTACTCTATACATACATACATACATACATATATATATATATATAATACATACATACATATATATATATATATATATATATATATATATAATACATACATACATATATATATATATATATATATATATATATATATATATATATATATATATATATAATAGAATACTAAAATGTTGGGATTATGGTGCTTTAGTTTACACCACCACATGGCATCCTTTAACTTTTAAGATTTGTGGACAGTATCATGGCAATGACATCTACAAGCTCCTTAATGCCCTTCTTCGGCTTTAATTTGAGCCCCCTACCTCCAATTTGGCAGCGTCTTTTAGCAATTTCTTGATTTACTTCGATACCTAAGCCTTTGACATCGAGCAAGCTAAGCTATCGCTAGAGCCAGCTTAGTAGTGTTATTTGGTCTAATGCTATCCTTTAATTTGTTTATGGTTGGTTTCTTGGTGGCTAGGAGGCAGGAGCATTAGAGACAAAAGCAAAGGCAGCCTTCAAATCACTAACCTCATTTTCCTCTTCCTCTTCCTCTCTCTTTCTTCTTCATATTCGTTGTAAACTTCTATTTTTCCTTCTTCTAGTTGAGTCCCCAAGCTAAGGTTGGTAGAGTCAATTCAGTTGCCCTAATGGTGTTGGAACTTCTATTGTAACATCAACTTCCCCTATTTGACTCAATCTAAACTTAGAAAGGTTGTAGGACGATAAATGTGTAGGGAAAACTTTCTATATTAGTATACTTGAAACTTTGAAAGACCGGAGAAGAATTGAAAGCAAAATTTAAGTATATATATGAATAAAACTTTTGTTAGATATGTAAAATGAAGACCATATATAGTTATTGTTAGTGTTATATGTTTTTACCCTACTTTATAAATGACTAAGTTATTACGACAACATAGAAGAGTCAGTAGATGTTACAAAATATTACTACGAAAATAATATTTCTGAAAAAATATAACAAGCACAAGAACGAAAGGAATTTATTGGTAGGTGGTTAGTACGAGTCGAGCGAAACACTCTTTCTTTAAAACCTTATTTGTCGTCTCCCAAAGGTGCTAGGAGCGTTACGGCCTAGGTTTTTCAAGATAAAACGTATTACGATTCCAAGTTTGAGCACTCAAATAATGGAATCCGACGAACTAGAGCAAGGGATGAACAACTCATTGGCTAAGAAATGAGTAGGAGCAGAGTTTTTGAGAGAGGAAAACTGATTTCGTTGTCTTGTAAAATCTGCTACTCAAACAACAACTTATATAGGAGTTGAAGATTAAATAACATTTAATTCATGGCATTAAAACTGATATTAAACTCTAGAATTCAAAATTGAAATTAATTTTGGATTAATTCCATAACAGATGGATTTATTAGTCATCGACTAATAACGCTCCATTCTGGCGAGCGAGTAACTTTTTAGGCTCTTTTTGGGATTTGATTTGCAACCACCCCCCCCCCCCCCCATACGCGAGAGAGAACCTCTATGCTATACAATTCAATAAGCCTTAGAAAGACTCTTGTATAAATAGTGGTGCAAACCTACTTCCAAACCAATGTGGGACAAAGGCTACTTTAAAGCCTTTTCCCTTCATTTTTTTCAACTCAAATGGGCATACTTTGAGAATCAATTCTCATTCACCCATTATCCGTTTTGAGCATACAATATATCAATCTCTTTGTCTCACTACGAAGAACTCGAATCCACTTTGCCCCGACCCCAATTGGAAGTTGACCCCACTAATAATTAAACCAAAAAGTAGCCATTTAAAATGTCATTTTATGCTATTTTTTCTAACAATAGAGTCCACAGATATGTTATGTAGATTAAGTCGACTGATGGACGGACTGCTGCAGGAGTAGCTCACACAGTGAAGGATCTACCGTTCAAGAAGCAGTTACTAACTCAATATATTGAAAGGAAGGATTTTCAAACAGAGTCAGTCTTGGATAGCCAGATCATTAACAACATCAAAGAAGCTTCAGGTTCCTCCAATGAATTCAGCTTCAATCTTGTAACACAGTTTGCGATTCAAGTTTCTTTTAGCATTGCTAGCTGAAAGTTGTTTCGATGTCTGACTGTAAAGAATGTTTTATCATTCTGTTTCAACTTATGATTAATGAATTAGCTCTTTATTTCAAAAAAAAATAAAAAATCTTTATAGTTATCAATCTTACTATCCAACCAACTAGACTAAAATTACCTTTGGACTCCCATATGAGAGGTTGTGAGTTCGAGCCTCAATGAAGACGTTATTGGCTCTTTGTGTTTTAGTAGGTTCAGAAAATAGTTATAAACAGATACTACATTGAATAGAGTGAAGCATTCAAAAAAAAAAAAAAAAGGCCTCAATCCTTACATAAACCTTATCTAAATTTAACAACCTCCCAACCAAATTTATTACTTAATTTCCAAATTTGGGAATTTCTAGATAGCCAAACGTAGGACTGCCATTTGCCGCACAACACACCAAAACCGCTTTAATGATTGCCCCTTTTCCTCTCCTCAGATCCAAAAATATACCGCAGATACACGTGAAAATCTACCAACCCATAAAGTGCTGCCACGTCGCCCAAAATATCTGGATCTTCCAATCAGCACTCCCCACGTCACTAGATAAGAGGCGCTTTTTAGTTTTTTTCCATCAATGCACCCGTATGGGTGAGTATGTACTTTTCTTCAAAAGGAAATCCCAGGGTGCCCATAATTAAGGATTACGTTCATTCTACAATTACAAAATTATCCCATGCTGGAAAATGAAACAACATGTTAGGGCATCCACAATAATAGTTTTTGGGGAGATTTTTAAAGAGATCAAGCTTATGTGGAGGAGAGATGGTGAATTTAATCTGATTTGAAGAGCTTGATTTTTGTCAAATTTATGAACCTTATTAAGAAAGAAAAAATGTCATGCGGCCTCGCGTGAGGCGCAAATCTTGCGCCCAGTCGACACATAAATCTTCACTTTTTTTTTTTAAATTTTGTTTTTGGTTATTTTTTTTAGATTTTGCTTTTGATTTTTTTCCCTTTTTTATTTCCCTCTTATTTTCTCTTTTCTAGTCGTAAAAACTGATCAAAAAATATAACTATTACAAATGCTTTTAAGAGGTAACATAACTATTTCTATTTCTATTTCTATTTCGTTCAAAATTTTATCGCATCAATTAAAAGTTTAATTTTTAACAAAAAAAAAATTACAAATTTAATATATACCCCATTTAATGAATGGATTTAATTTTTTCTTTTAAAAAATAATTGAATAAAATCTTATTGAAAATAATAAAAAATCTCTATTTATTTTACTTTTCACTTTTAATTCAATTTGCAATTAGTCATAGATAATTCATGTATTTAATGTTATTTACCACTTTTGTTATCTTAATACACGATATTGTAAAATATTTTGTATAATATATATTGACGTTTGTAAGATTTTAATTTCTAAATTTTTCGAATTGACAAACTTTATTATAAAATACTTAATATGTCATCACTTTTTAGATATTCAATCGAACTTTGTGGTTTTTCAAGTAAGAATATTCTGAATTACTTTTGATCAAAAGTACAAAATAAAATTGATTAAATATCTGAACATTAGTTTAGTGGATGATAAATATCTCATTTAAGATTTACTTTCCGTTACAGACTGTGGTGAGGCTCCAACCCTATGGGTTGATAGGATTGGGTGTGGTGGTCCTAGATGCAGTTCTTGTCCCGTTCTATGTTATCATCTCTATCACTAATCCTCACCCTCAATACACACACACACAGAGTGGATGCTGTTATGTTATCCAGTCAGCGGATCTTAGCCCTTTATCCCCGTGACTCTCTGCACCTTCTGTCCCTTCTCTCAATTTCATCTTTCTTTTTCTTTTTCTTTTTTTAAACATTTCGGATGAGTTTGGTTCATGGATTTACATATTAGAAATTAGGAATAGGAATCAAAATCATTCTTTAAAAAGGTTGAACTCCAACCAACTTTGGGATGATGTAAATCATGGTAACTCAATTGAATCACAGAGGCTAGACCTTTGCTCACTGCGCAAAAGGAACCTCCTCACTTTGAGAGGACTCGATCACTGGTCATTCTTTCAAAGTTTCACCTCTATAACCCGTTGAGCTGCCCATGCAGGTAATAAGAATCAAAATCATAGTTAGTGTTTAGTTTGACAATTTTTTAAAATACTTCATTCTCTACTTAAAAATGAGTATCATATGATTTTTAAGTTTGAATTAATGTTTTTAGATTTTTGTTTTCATTTTTTTTTCATATTGGTGCAAATATCATTATATTAGAATCAATTACCTTATTTTTTTTGTTTTTATATTTTTAAAATTTTTATTCTCATTATAAAGTTATACATAACCAAACATCAATATTAGTAATTATTACAATTCTACTATACTATCAAGCACTCAAAATGCTTTTGGCAAAATTTATTACTATTACCAAGTATTTAATTCTCATTCCGATTAGCATATGCGAACCAAACACACCCTTCTATCTCCCTTTTAAAAACACAAATTTAAACTACGCTTTTCCTTCGTCCTTAGATATTTTGTCCTGCGGGCTTTCTGGCTTCTCTCTCTGCATTTTCATCTCTTCATCACGTCCTTTCACTCTTAGCTAATTCTCCCAGAGTAACTTCCACCTCCCATTTACTTGCTATCTCGCACATATATATGTTCGTTTCTCTAACATTAATAAATCTCTTTCTTGTTTCGACGAGTTTGAGGTAGATTTTTGGGGATTTCCATTTAAAGCCTTAGCCTTCATTATTTTATTATAAGGCTCTGCTATCTTCTCTATATATAGCACTTTTATCTTTAAAAAAAAAAAGTTTTTGGCTTTTGTGAGTTCTCAGGGTTTAGGGTTCTTATAGTACTTGAGTTTTCAGGGTTTAGGGTTCTTCAACTTCTCCTTAAATTCGCACCCAATATAGGAATGGGAATTGGGTATTAGCCAGCCAAAAATAGGAGTTGGATTCTGGACTGGGCAAGGTATAATAATGGCGCCTTGTTGTCTGAGTGGAGGTGGGAGAGCATATAAATTGGAGGTTGAGATAATGAAGTCTTCGTCGCCATTATCATCATCATCTACTTGTTGGGCATCCCGCTTATCTTCTTCTTCTTCCCCTACTCTCTCAGAATCCAGTAATTCTTCTTCTCCGGTTGCGCTCTCCACCAGAAAGCCTCGGACGCCTCGGAAACGCCCCAACCAAACATACAATGAAGCCGCCGCGCTCCTATCCACCGCCTATCCGGCTATATTCACAAACCCGCCGCCTTCCAAATTCGCCCCACCCGCCTTCTCCGGCGATGATGATGATACCTTTCTTCTACAATATGATGAAAGAATCCCTGCTGCTCTCCCTTGCAAACTGCTCGCCGGCGGCTGGGAAATCCGCTCAAATTCGCCGCCCATCAGATTTGATTATTGCCAGGATTATTTTCAAGACGGGTTTGACGCGGGTTCGATTTTGGATGGGGAGATTGAGGAGGGTGGTATTGGTATTGATAGCATTATGGGGAAGCTCGGCGGCGACGATTCCGCACGGGAGGGTGAATGGATGGGCGCTAGGGCTACTTCTTACGGGTTTCCGATTGGGATGGGATTTAAGGCGGCCTTAAAGAATGTTGGCGGCGGTGATGGTGGTAGTGGAGATTATTGGTGGAGATTTCCGAGGGTTAACGTCGTGGACATCACCCCAAAACCAGAGAAATCTGCGCCGGCGCCGGAGAAGATGATGAAGAAGAAGAAGAAGAAAAAGAAAGTGGAAAAGCCGGCGGGTGAATTTCGGGTTACTCAGAAAGAAGAGAAGTCGTCGTCTTCTTCAGCTCAACGTGCAGCATTATCCAAAGAGGATGAACCCAAATCCACTTTGCTCCTAAAATTGAACTACCACAGCGTTTTGACGGACTGGATGGACCGGCCATCGCCCTTCTCCGATGAACCTCCGTTCTCCGAAGCTACCGGAAATGATGTCCAAGTACGTTTCACTCACTCTCTCTCTCTCTCTCTACTCTCTTCCCGCCATCATTTTTTTTTTTTTTTTTTAATTCTCAGCTTAAGTCTCTCTGGGGGAATTTAAAATTGGGAGCAATAATTTATTTTGAAACGTTATCTAGTGTTTCAAAATAAGTTTGGATTTTTTAATTATTTTTTTCTATTTTTATCTTTATTAATTTATAAAAATGGCACCAACTACCCTTCATCAATTAAAATCTTAGGGGGCGTTTGGTTCAGGTTATATAACATAACCAAAGGAATGTGACATTCCAAAGCTCACATTCCTATGTTTGGTTTACATTATCTAAGGGAATCTAACATTCCCCAGGAATGTCACATTCTTTCCATATAGGATTTTGAAGGGAATGTGATTCCCTTCAATTTCTAAGGTTATGTAAGATAACCTTAATTATGTTAGTTTATTACACACACACACACACACACACACACACACACACACACACACACACACACACACACACACACACACACACACACACACACACACACACACACATATATATATATATATATATATATATATATATATATAATTATTTTTTATTTTTATTATGTTAGGTTAGCATATAAAATAATTTTGTTTCTCAAGTTCAATATTTTAGTTAATATTTTAAAATCATGTAATTATATATGATACCGTAAACCAAACATGATTATATTACATACCTCAATTTTAACCAAACACAGGAATCTAACATTCCCAGTAATCTAACATTTCCTAAGGTAATCTGACATTCCGTGAACCAAACGACCCCTTAATATCTTAGTTTATCATTTTATGTTTTTTTTTTAACACTTATCAGCTACAATATTAATATACTAACATTTTAATTTCAATTAATTATCTAATTAACTTTTTAATTTTCAACTAGATGTCTTGATGCCAAACAGAAATTTTAATCTTCAATTTTCACCTTTCCCGGTACACTTTACATACCTCACTTACAACTTCTAACTTTTGCTCTCACTCTTCTACGTATCTATGAGATCCCTGTACTATAGTGTTTTATTCAACTTAGTTCATCTACCTTAATTTTGTTCAATTTAGTCTTTGTACTTTAAAAAATGAAATAATTAATGACAATAGCTTATGTGGCGCTGACATTATCATTACCACGTCATCATACTTACACGCCAACTCATATATTATTTTAAAAATATTTAAAATTAATTATTTTTACCACCAATATATTACATTAATATGTCTAAAATAAGTACATAAATATTTACTCACATCAGCTATTGTTTTTAATTGTTTTAATTTTTAAAGCGTAGGGACTAATATAAACAAAATTAAAATAGAAGAACCAAATTATTAAAAAAAAAAAAAACTGTAATACAAGGACCTCATAAGTACTTTGACTCATTTAGTCATTTACACCACACGCGTACACTCACTTCATTATTAACGTAATTTATATTCATTTCGAATTATATGTTACTTTTAACCGTTCATTTTTTTTTTTGGGGTCTACGAATACACAAATTTATAAAATATATTTAATGCGTTAGAATGATAATTAATTTTATACGTAGTTTTTTTTTTTTTTTTCCTTTTATCTTTTGTCCATACAATACAAGTAATATAATGATAATATATATCACTAAAAATAAAGTACGGAGTAGCATTTTTCATGAAATAATTGGATCTTTTGGTTTGTTGCAGGCTAAATTGGCACAAATAGACTTATTCTCAGAAAATGGGGTTAGAGAAGCAAGTGTATTGCGTTACAAAGAAAAGCGGCGCACACGTCTTTTCTCAAAGAAAATAAGATATCAAGTCAGAAAAGTCAATGCAGATCAACGTCCTAGAATAAAGGTATATATGGAGCTAGATATTTATTTATCCTTTATTTTAGTATGAATTTTAATTATATGAAATAATTCAATGAATAACATAAATGAAATAGTTCTCATCTTATCTATAATAGAGATTATAATTCCTAAATCTCATATTTATTATGGCAAATTCTCCTATGATACCGACTTAATGATCCTCATTCATGAGACGGATTGAATTTTTGATAAGTATTACAATTTTCGTCATAAGTAATTCTTCAACTCTTAATATTATATTTTGATTTGAAGTATTACACTTTCTCTCTTAAGTAACGTAAATAATGTATTTATGATTAGTATTACATTTTTTTTCCTCATAACTATTCAACCCTAAATATTATATTTTGATTTTAAAATATTATATTTTTTTCTCAAAGTATTACACTTATATTTCTTATAAGTAATTAATAAACAATTTATTATTATTAATTGTTACATTTTTCAACATAAGTATTGCATTTCCGGCCATCATAATCTAATTCGTCTTATAAAATCATAATCTATAATACGATCTCAGAGGAGACTCACCCTTGAAATATTCACATAAAACTACATTAATGTGCAGGGACGTTTCATGAAAAGCCCAAATTCTCCCGATGATAGCGAGCAAGGATGATGCATCATGGGGGACCCTTGAGCCAGCCAGCAGGCATCTTTCAATTAATTATTCCTTCCCATTGTTCTCAAAAGATCCCGATCCGGTAGAGTATCTGAGAAGATATAAATTATAATAACTCAGCTGAACACAGATGTTATACCTTTGCTTACTGCACACAAAGAATTCATCACTTTGAGAGATTGCTCCCACATTATTCAAATGTACTTCTCAAATTTCATTTTTGTTTACTCTTCAGAACTATACTACGGAGTACTATTTTATTTTTATTTTTTAATCATTAGATATCTACCTAATTTTAATTGTTTTTTGGACATTTATACTGATGAAGGAAGATAGACTAGGATCTAAGAGATCAATCTGAATAATAGTCCAAAAGACCAGTTTTCCCCTGGTCTTCCCCTTTCTACTTGTCCCAAATTTTGGTGGTTCAAATAAAACCACCAAATAATAATTATTATTATTATATTGTTTTTGTCTTTTGAACTAACTAAGGTGATGCTAAGATATTATCTAACCTTATTTATGAAAATTCTTTCAATACCGATATGTTTTATTTACAATGTTCAAATTTAAAACTTTATTTAAAAGAACCAAGTTATTAATTATTACGTGAATCACATTTATTCATTTTTTTGGCCCACAATAATATCTTCATTTATTTTTAAAGGGAAAATGGCACTTTTTGCCCCTGAGTTATATACTTATAGCACTTTTTCCCCCTCAATTATTTAGGTAAGCACATTAGCCCCCTCAATTATTCTAAAAGTGGTGCTTTTTCCCCATGATATATTAAATTGACATTTATACCCTTAAAGTAAACATTTTATTTATTTTACTACTCCAACAAATTATTGCGTATACGTAGGGATGACCACGGATCGGTTTGAATTGAACTGGATACTAAAGCAATCGAATTAATAGTTTTCGGTTATAATTCAAATCCAGAACCCAATATTTAAATGTCAATTTATTAAAATTATGTATCAAAAAAATTGAATCTTGAACCGTGAACCAGCGGTTCCGGATTCGATTCGCGATTTTGAACCGTCTTTATTTTAAAATCTTAATTTTTTATTTTAAAATAGTATAAATTCAACAATAAATATATTTTATTTTTTCAGTTCGGAACATGAACCGTCCGTTCCGGTTCACGATTTTAATAAACTCTAAATATCGAATTTTGATTCTAAATTGTAATTGGAATATTTCGGTTTGGTTGCTATAGTGTTTGTTTGGTTTGATCCAAATTATGGTCATAATTTGTTGGAGAAAAAAATAAATTAAATATTTAGTTTAAGGGTAAATATGTCTATTTAACATTTCAGGGGGAAAAATAGCCACTTCAATAATTTAGGGGGAAAAAATGCTATAGGTATATAACACAGGGGGAAAAAGTGCCATTTTCCCATTTTTAAATTATCTTGCAACGTCCATAAAGAAAGGAATACTAATGCATGGTTCGTTATATCGTGGACCGTGGTGCACGTGCACCGCGGTTAAAATCGCAAATCATGCTGTGCAACCGTGTGCATCATACATGGTGCACACGGTTGCAAAAACGGCGTCGTTTTGACAAAAAACGCGCGTATCACTTTTTTAAAAAAAATTCAGGTTCGATTCCCGGTAATAGTATTTTTTTTTGTGCATAATTTGAATTATATATCCACAAATTCATAACTATATATTCACAAATTCATAACTATATATCCACAGTGAATGAATAACACAAAACCCAGAATGAATGAACTAAATATCCACAATGAATGAACTAAATATCCATAAATTCATAACTATATATCAACAAATTCATAACTATATATCCACAAATTTATAACTATATATCCACAATAATTCATAACTACATATCCACAATAATGCTGTTGAGGGGAATCGAAATTGATTTTTTTTTAAAAATGGGACGCGCATTTTTAGTCAAAACAACATCGTTTTGCAACCGTGTGCACCATGCATGGTGCACACGGTTGCACAACATAACTATTGGGTTAAAACGACATCGTTTCTTTAAGTAAAGAAACGGCGCGCCGTTAATTTTAACGGAGCGCGCATTTTTTTGTATGTTAATTATCAACTGACACTACAGTATATCTAAACCGACACTGCCTCACGTATTATTTTTATATTATCAAATGAAACTGCAATTATATCAAAATGATACTATAGTTGTGGTAAAATGAAACTGCAGTGTATATAAAATGAAACTGAATAACATTTCACATATTTGAGTGTATATTGTACAATGAAACTGTAATTATATCAAAATAATCATGTAGTTGTGTTTTAATAAAACTATAGTGTATATAAAATAAAATTAAATAACATTTTCACATATTTGAGTCTATAAATATCGAATGAAACTTAGTTATATCGAAATGAAACTTTAGTTATATCGAAATGAAACTATAGTTGTGTTGAACTGAAACTGCAGTGTATACAAAATGAAACTGAATAACAGAGTTACTTTTTACGGAAGGGTGCGGAACGACAGGAAACGAATGCCGTTTCTTTTCATTAAACAAAACGACGTCGTTTTGATGCGCGGTGCATGACCAATTATGCACCGCGGTGCACAATATAATTTGCCCTAATACATGCACACAAATTGGTGCAAAGAATCATTTTCATAGATAATGCCATGGATTTTAGGTGTTAATAGATTTGCAAAAGAGTTGAGATAGAAAAACAAAGAATATTGATTATTGTTTGAATTTAATATACAAATAAGTAAACACAGAGAACACATCAATCAACACCTAAAATTCAAACAATAACAAAGAATACATCAATCAACCCTATATTATATTCACAAATTTCTTTTTACAATTATTGTGTGTTTTGACTTGGAAACACAATTTATATTTTAGAATCAGAGTCCACCTTGCAGAATGGTCCTTGATCCATGGTATAACAACTCATCAATAATCGTTATGCTGTGAAATCATGTCCACCTTGCAAGGTAGACACAGTTCTATGTTCATAATTATAAAACTATATATTCATAATTTTTGAACTTCATATTCATAATTATTGAATTCAATATTCGCAATTACAGATCTATATGTTCATAATTATAAAGTTATATATTCATAATTTTTGAACTTTATATTCACAATTATTGAATCTCTATATTCATAATTACTGAACTTTATGTTCATAATTATAGAACTATATATTCATAATTTTTGAACAATTTTGGAATCGTGTCCACCTTGCAAGGTGGACATGGTTCCACAGCATAATTTGTGAAGGTAGTATCTATTCTATATTTTCTCCAATTACTAGAGCCCAATGAGTCAATACCCCACCACCGGAGTTCGATTCTGTGACCTTCTCCAAAAGAAACCACAGAAGTGTCATCTGAGGACAAGGTGCTTGGCTCATTTTACCAAGTCCTATGTTCAAAATTTAATGAAATCCTAAAAAGACAATGTATAACTATCTATAATTTGCATTTAAATTGACAATAATTATGATTGGCCTAGATATAGTACCCTAAAAAAAATACATTCTAATATAAGGAGTGGTTGAGTGGAAGGGGCTCATTCAACCTTAATCAAATGTCAAAGGGTTTGATCCTTCAATCGTTATACACTTATACCATGGATCAGGGTTCATAGTGCACTATGGACCCTAGTTCATGTATTTGTATTTTGTATCTTACATTATGAAATGCTAATAATGGTCAAATTCATCAAAAATTGACAGTTCTGTCATTTACCAAACAAGATCAATAATTTCAAACATAACTTTACCTCTTTTGAATAAAACAGGTATGAAAATCCAAAAGACGTTTGCAGTTCAACCCTCCTTTTACTTCCACAAAATGCTCAAAGCAAATTTTGTTTTCCTCAATAAACTATAAACAATGCAAGCCCTAATAAAATCAACATCTTCAATACAAGTCTTCACCATTTTACAACTTTGCAAGCAAACTATCAGCTATTAGAACTTTCTAGCCAGTTAAAAACAAACAGAAAACTAAAACAAACTTGGCAAAGCAAATGTGGGAGGGAACAAAAGCCAAAGAAAGCATTCATAAATCGGTGTCAGCTAGCTTCAACTCAGAGTTCGCCAACAGAAGCTAAAAACAAATGTGGCAAAGAATGAAAAGACGCACAAATGGAAGAAGCATCAGTTTCTACGCTTAGTTTGCTCTCAAAACACTAACTTCCTACGCACAAATGATGCAAGTTCACGGATTGTTTCTCCCATTAAGTCCTTGTATATAAGCCTTTCCATGTCCAACACTGTCTCCGACATCTCTATTGGACAATCTCCCCAACCATTTACGTCATCGTGTGCCAGATCTTTTTTGAGAGCATTGCAAATGATCTCAAACAAGTCATCAGAATTTTCCCGTTCTTGGATCCTTAGGAATTCTGACAAGATTATTTGCACCGATGACTGTGCAGTAATAGAATTTAAGCACGAATATCGTTTCCATGGAGGCAGTTGCCTGTTCCTATCCAGAATTTCAGTGATGGTGTCAAAGATCAGCTTCCTTTGCAGTCTAGAATCTTCTGACGTGTCTTTTCCTTTGAGAAATTGTTGCTTCTCCAACAGTAGGAAAGTGTCAGATTCTTCGGGAAGGTAATGAGAAGCCCTAAGAATGTCTGTGATATAACTAATATCACAGTCTACTGTTGTATCCTTGGACTTTGCTTGGACCGGTGAAATTTCAGCCCTTGGTATCTCATTGTCAAAATCACCTAATTCATGCACAATATAAAGTAAAATTGGCAGTGATTCAAGTGGAAAAAAAAAAAAAAAAAAACATTTTGGTGATGTAAAAACTTCAGTCTTGCACAAATACTCCTAAATTTAAATTTCTCATTATCAGAGGTAGTTCTCATTTAATGACTCACATTTTGCATTAACAGTACCCTACAGTAGGCGCTAGTCGGGCGCCCTGGCAGCGCCTAGGCGGAATCTAGGCGGGCGCCAAAAAAGAAAAAATTGCGCCAGACTTGCAGTTTGACAATTTTAATAAGTCTATTTTCAACATTCAATCAAATAACACATCCAAATAAATGAAATAATGATAATTCATAAGTCATAACATCATAACAATATTAAAAAATAAAAATACTCAAATACTTTTTTTTTTTTGAATACTATTGACTCTACGACAATGTTGTATCTGTTCATAAATATTTTCTTAGACGAAATCGGACAAAATCGATCGACTAGGCCGAGTTGGCCGATTTTGCCGCCTAGGCGGCCGGCCGATTTTTGGGCGCCTAACAGTGAAAGCAGAACGGCCTAGGGGCGCCTAGGCGCCGCCTAGGCCGATTTTTACAAGATGGGATATATCTAACCATCACTAAGTGTGGTTGCAGTCAATCATATTCTTAAATTTTTTTTTTTATTTAAAAACTATGCCTATTATATGCTACATTTGCTTGTGAAATCAGATGAAACGTGAACAACACAGATACAAAAGAAGCTAGCATACCTAAGAATTCAATGCTTCGCTTCCTTATAGGAGAAGGCGATGGCGAGTCTTCCCTGTAGAAAGACGAGTCCAGAACTGATACTGGGCTTGGTTGCATATCTGTGGCTGTCATCTCTGCAATACTATGAATCAACTTGTCACACCTCTCCAAAAGGTTCCTTCCTTCATTGTACTCCTCTGTGTTTGATCCCTATCATGCCATCCAAAAAAGAAAGTTTAACACAAAAAAATCATTAAAAAAATGATATTTTTAAAATGCAGTTTCAAAGCTTTACCTCTCCTTTGGTCGGAAATGACATAGTAAGGCTGCTTTCAGAAATGGAAGATGATGATTGATCATCATCTGCAACGAAGTTTGTGATTTTCTCCTTCTGATGAACGTGTGCCTGTGATTTTTTGTTCCATGATCGTTTTGTGAAGTTTTGCTCCGAACTATTCCTTCTGGAGATAACTTTAGGTGACTGTAATGGAGAGGGTTTTTGACACTCAATTGACTCACTTGCTCTTCTCTGGGGGTCAACATTTAGTGTCTTAGATTGCATCACAGGATTTGAATGCCTCACGCAGCCATCTCTTCGGTTTGGCGATGTGGAACCTGTAGTTCTTAAAGGACTGTGAGCATTCCGATCAGTAGACCGCTCCCAATATGGGCTTACCGATGGCAGGCTTTCATTAGAGTGGTTGCTCTTCTGGCTAACACCAATCTGGCTTTCATTCCTATATTTTCTATTGATTGGTGAAGTGGATCTGGAAGGTTTCATCACTACTATCTGAGACTCGTCAAATGAGAAACTTGGATCATATATGACATTAAGGCGGTTTAATTGCTCCGAAGGCCTCTTGGTATGCAGGAGCCCTTTTAGTTGCAAAGCCTCTAGAATTTGCTTCAACGTCTCCAGATCTTTAGAAGGTTCATCGAGTCCTCTGATCCTCAATCTCTTGTCAATCTCTCCGTGGAGTGGGACTGTCTGTTTAGGCTCTGGGAAAATTTCAGCTGTATCAAAGAAGCTTTTACGATGTTGTGGTGGCTTCCATGATGTTGAGCTCAAACCTCTACTCGAACCCTTTGGCCTTTCGGATTTCTCGATTCCTAATCCAGACCCCACTTGACCTCTGTGCCTGGCATTCAACATAGACCTTTCAAAATCGATTTCTGCATTCTCTGCCATCCCACAGTTTGGTATGTTAGGATGCAAATAATTTGGTTCATTGAACTCGAAGCGATTGCCCTCGATGAAGTGAGAGTGAAACAAGTCTCTTGAAACTCTCGACTCGGATGCAGACCTTCGCAGCTCAGCTTTCTGTGTAGTCTCTGAACTTGATTGTGGCAAAGCCTCGAGTCCCATCAGCTTTGCAATGACACTGGGACATCGATGCTGTTTCTCGTTATCAGCTAGAACTCCATCTTTGGCATTTTCACAATGGTTTGCCGATATACTTGAAGCATTGATTTGGATCTCCTTCGGGTGAAGGCTTCCCTTAGCATCAACTGTGGCTCGGCTGTCAAGCGAGAGCCTTGGAGCTTCTTTCCGGATCTTCCAAGAAGACCTTGCCCCCCCATCTTTCACTTCAAAAATCGGAAGAGGAAGTGGAGATTTTGGTGGCGTCTTGGTTGGAACAAAAGCACACTCTTTTAATCGTTCTGGACTAGGTGCAGCCACAACTTTTGCTGGATGCCCTTTCACCCGTTCTTTTGCAATTTCCTGGGACACAGCTATGTTTTTCGGCTCTAACGTGTCATTAACCTCCTGAAATGATTCAAACAGTGGAACAAGTATATACACATTCAATAGTTTCCAGATATATACAGCAAGAAATATTGAACACACTGTAAAGCAACAAAATGCTAACCGTGAAAGGAGGAAGACGCTTAGTGGTATACAGCCTTTTGCTGGCTAAAATGTGATGGCGTTCAAAAAGCTGAAGAAATCCAGACATACACCCCATCTTCCTATCATCCATGTTCCAAGATTAAGGAAGCAAACTTATTGCAATCACCTGATGAACATTTAACAGAGACTATCTGCCAATCAGTCATCAAACCACAGATAAGTTCATTAAATACTAGCAAGTAGTCCTCCTAGTAACTAGTTTCATTCCTGCACATATGAATCCATACCACGAGATGTCCTGAGCAGGCCCTAACTGTAAGAGCACCTATAAGCATATATCATGCTCAGACTAATCCCCGTTCACACCGGGCAGGCCCAATTAAGGGGCAAAGTACTGGCCAGATTGGTCTTTTCATACGAGAGGGAGTTCGAACTCCCGTCCTCTCTTAAGGGAGAGGAGTGCACGGCCATTCACGTCAACCAAGCTGGTTACAGATGAATCCATTAATCCTACAGGGCTCCCTGCTAACTACAAGCAGCTTTTAGTTTGGAAATCTTTAAATGGTAGCTGAGTCTTGCTGTGTGTAGTATCCAATATTTCCATTGCTATCCAAGCTAATTTAGTTTCCCAATTTATTGCAACATAAATACAAAGCAAATAAATAAGAAACAACTGGGGAGATGAAGGGTAAATGTCATTAATCACAAGTGAACAAACAGCTAACCACAAAAAAAAGAAAAAAAGAAAAATCAAGATTCACAGTGAAACTATTAAATCTTTTTCTCACTAGGCACATACTCTTTAATCTGAAAAAAAAAAAAAAAAAAAAAATTGATGAATGGAAAAGAAACAGCAAATCAAGAGAAGAAAATGCAAAGACCAAAGAAACCCAAATGGGGAAATGAAGGAAACCATGCCTGGAGGTCGAGGAGAAGGGGTTACACACACACAGATCTGCCGCCATTGGTCTAAGAGAGTTTTGGGTACACTATAAGCTCCAAAACAACGGTCTTTACTGACACACTCGTATATCTAGCATACATATATATTAGTTGGAGATCAGTTTAGGTCCAGAAAACCACAGGGGAGGGGACTGGGGGAGCCAGGTATCGTTTTGTGTTGCCATCTCTGAGCAACTCCCAATGGGGCGCTCAAAACCCAATTCAATAAATAAATAGGAAAATATATATTATTTTTTTTGAGGAAGGAAAATATATATTATTAATCAAAGTTTGAGGGCCAAACTGCTAACCAATGCTGCAATACCTACAATTTTTTTTTAAAAAAAATAAATAAATAGATAATTTATTAATCATAAGTTAAAACCGTTACAATAAAAATCAATAGAATGATAAAGCATTCTTTACAATCAGACATAGAAACAATTTTCCTAGCAATGCTAAAAGAAATTTGAATTGCAAACTGTGTTACAAGATTGAAGTTGAATTCATTGGAGGAACCTGAAGCTTCTTTGATGTTGGTAATGATCTGGCTATCCAAGACTGACTCTGTTTGAGAAGTCTTGCATACCACCTGAGTAACTATTGCGGCTCTTCTGTCCGTAGACAATATCTTCATTAATCTGAATTGCATATCATGGTTCAGATCTTCTTCGTTGCTCATGATAAGATAAACATACGCCATGATTAATTAAATCGTTTCACCTTAATAAAAAAAGAACTCGCTAAAGAAACGAGAGGGAATAACTCGCCAAAGAAGCGAAATGAAATAACTTATCAAAATAACTTATGGAAAAAGTGAAAAACACAGATATGTAGAAAAAAAAAAAAAAAAACAAAACTCCACGCCTTCTCCTGTCAAGAAAACACAACGCCTTCTTGTCCTTGATCAAAGCACAAAACTGAACTCAAAGCCTTCATTACCTAGATTCAAGAAAAGAACAACGACACAAAGCCTTCTTTTTCCTTTTTGTTGAAAAATAAGGGTTGACAATGGTGAGGGGCTTCTTGATTAGATCTGGTGCTTGAAGTTGTGAAACTAAAAAATAAAATACAAAGGAACTACGGAAGTATGAGACCGCCAGCCAAGGACAGAGTCGGCCAGTGACCGGCAGCCACACTACGAAGGAACGACAAGATGCAAGGTTTGGGAGGGGAGAGAGGCAGAGAGATTTTTTTTTTGCAGTTTACGGGAGGCAGTTTATGAAGATAAAAAATAATACCTACAATTTTAACATCTTTATATATATATATATATATATATATATATATATATATATAATCCTAATTATATGAGAACCATCCTCAGGTGAGAACTTGTGGACAATTAATCTACAAAACTTGATGGATGGGAAATCAAATTTATTTATTTTTAATCGTTATATCTACTCTCTTCAAAGAAGAGAAAATGCATGGTAGCAATTTATGATAAAAAGATTATAATTGTCAACAATATATTTGACTCCATATCATATGATAATCTGGATCCATAAATTGAAACAGTAGTAAAGTCCCAAAAGCGCTATAAGTATTTAAGATATAAATGAGCAATTAAGGCATAACTCAACTTACTGAAAGGAAATGATTTTTTCTATAATATGTACACTAAAGAAATGATTTTCTCTATAATATGTACACTAAAGAATGTTAACCATATAGGTTACAACTTACAAATGGGTGATTGTACGAATGAGAAATGGGAATAATGAGGTGGTGTGATATAATGTGAGATTAGTAGTTCAAGGGTTTACACATATATTTGATCAAATATACTCTCCTATAATGGATGACATTAAATTCTGTTGCTTAATATCATTGGCAATTAAGTAATGAATTTAGATATATATGCAGTTGATGTACATCATGATCGCAAAGGTCATTATATGCTAATATTTATTTATTCAAAAAGTGCCTAGTTGATTTAAAGGTCCTTAAATGATAGAGAAAATGAAAATCACAACATGCATAATATTACATAACAAAAATCTTTATTTGACTTGAAGTAGTCAACAATTGATTAGACGATTTCCTCCTAAGAATGAATATGTAAATAATGATAAATGACGGTGTATGCTCATTGAAGTGTTGCATAGTGGTGTTATTTATTTATTTATTTACTCAGTGGTAATATAAATACTTTCAAACACATAAAGAGCTTGATAATATTAGCCCAAGCCTAAAAACAAAGTTTTGAAACGAAAATTTTGGAAAACTAATTATTGTCTCGACATGTAGGTCAAATATCTCTTTGAAAGAATTTTATATGCCATAGCCTACATTAAAAAAATGTATTAGAGATGTTTTATATGGATAAGTATCATTTACTTAGTACACCAATGGTTCTCTAATCTATTGAAGTAGATTAGGACCCATTTAGACTTGAAGAAGATAATAAGAATACTTACTGGCCAGAAGTCCATTACTTCACTGTCAATTGAACACTACTTTAGAACCAGAAGTTCCATAATCGCATCAACCTTCATATTGTATATGAGATGAACTTGCAAGCAACATTTAGTGTTTCTCATACAACGAAACATTAGAACAATGTTTTGTTGGATATCTCATTGGTAAAACCCAATAATAATCCGACAAAATATGGATTATTATTTTATGTAGAAAAGGGGAAGGAAAGATGAAGAGATTGGCTCGTGTTTGGTGTAGGGTTTTTAGCAAGAGTCAAGCGATCAGTCTTTCCTTAAAACCTTATTTACTACCTCCCACAAGTGTTAGGAGCGTTGTAGCCTAGGCTTCTAAGGATAAAACTTGCTAAGGTTCAATGTTTGAGCACCCAAACAAGGAATCCGGCGAACTAGAGCAACGTTTTGAACACAATTTGGCTAAGAAAGAGTAGAAGCAGAGAGTTTTGAGACTATAAAAAATATGATGTTTCGTGTTGTAAAATTCTGCTGGCCAACTCTTTCTTATATAGGGGTGTTGGAGTGGTAGCATTAAATTGGTATAAAAACCAATTTTGTAACACTTGAAATAGCAAGCCACGTCTCATTTTAAGATTTGATTTGCACCCCCCGCGCGCGAAAGAACCTCTATGCTATACAATTCAATAAGTTTAAAAAGAGCTCTTGTATAATAGGGGGCAAATCCTCTTCCCAAACCAATGTGGGACAAAAGTTCACTTTTTTCTTCATTTTCCAACTCAAATGGGTCTACTTTGAGAATCAATATCTCATTCACCCATTATCCATTTTGAGCGTACAATATATCAATCTCTTCGTCTCACTACGAAGAACCCGAATCCACTTTGACCCGACCCAAATCAGAAGTGGACCGCACTAATAATTGTATCACAAAATAGCCACTTAACATGTCATTTTAAGCTATTTTTTCCAACATGTTTAACATATCCTTTAATATTTTTGAGGCAAAAAGATTTTGACATTTATACAAAAAACTAAAATACAATTTTGATGGGCTACTTAAATACTTGCTACAGAGTATTTGTTTTGTCCTCATAATACCATATCCAAAACTAGTTATTCGAGTATGTATTACACTCATTGTTCTATATGAAGATAATAAAGCTTATGTTGTATAAATAAGAAATTGGTAGACTAAAGGCAATTTTGACAAAATATATAGCATCAAAATTGTGCTGATATGCAAGCTTCAGAAGAGCCATAAGACTATTATACAAAATATTGGCTCTAGTGACAATCTAACATAGTTGTTTACCAAATCCCTTTATACACTTATTTTTGAAAGACATATTCATTATATTGGAATGTGTAGGTTTAGAAGATTGTCACTTCAGGGGAGTGACATTTTGTTGAAACAGTCTTGGAGATTAGGTCTTGAAGACCAATACTTGTACCATTGTAGTAGTCTTTTTCCTTTACTTGAGTTTTTATATTATTTTCTTAAGAGTTAATTCCAACTGAGTTCTTTTATTTTTGGTGGCAATTACAAATTTAGGCTCAAACTATCGTTTAACACTCAGATTATCATATTTTGGACAGTTTTGATCGTTCTGATTACTTATCCTGTGAAACCATATTTTAAGCAATGATATTTTTGACTCTTTAATTTTTTTTTTTCTAATGAGTTAATTCCATAGAAAGGTCCATTATTTTTGTGACATTTTCAAATTTAGTCTCAAATAATTATTATTGTCATTTAACACCTTAAATTATCATATTTGGATACTTTTGGTCCTATTGGGTGGTGCACAAATAAATAGGAATTAGGTTGAAGTGACTGATCATTAATCCGGCTCTCCACTATGGCACTTTGCATCAACGAGAAAATGGGGCTGCAGACTTTGCATCAACGAGAAAATGGGTCCACCAATTCATCTCAATTGAAAATTCTAGATTTTTTTTTGAGGAAATTGAAAATTCTAGATAATAAGTAGCTCATATATATATATATATATATATATATATATATATATATATATAATTAGGTTCTGGTGCGGTTGTGCGGTTAAATCTGAGCCATTAATCTTGTTTAAATCAATATCCAAGATTACCCAAATTATAAATTAAAAAAAGTGCGTGACAATTTGATAATTTTTGCATCTAGGTAAAATTTAAGGTGTTTGGGTTTGGGCTTAATGTGCGTGAGTTTGTGCATAATGTATGTGAGTTTGTGCATAATGTGCGTGTGGTTTGTGCATAATGTGCGTGTGGTTTGTGCTTAAAGTGCGTTGGGTTTGTGCATAAGGTGTGTGGGTTGTGTGCTTAATGTGAGTAGTTGTTGAAACTTAAGGTGCGTGAGGTTTGTTCTTAAGGTGCGTGGGGTTTGTGCTTAAAGTGCGTGGGGTTTGTGCTTAAGGTGCGTGAGGTTAGTGCTTAATGTGAGTAGTTGTTGAAACTTAAGGTATGTGAATTTTGTGCTTAATTTGCATCTAGGGTGTGGTTTTTGTGCTTACGGTGCGTGGTTTTTGTGTTTAATGTGAGTAGTGGTTGAAACTTAAGGTGCGTGATTTTTGTGCTTAAAGTTCGTGGTTTTTGTGCTTAATATGAGTAGTTGTTGAAACTTACGGTGCGTGGTTTTTGTGCTTAAGGTGCGTGATTTGTATGCTTAATGTGAGTAGTTGTTGAAATTTAAGGTGCGTCAACCTGAAGCTTAAGGTGTGTGATTTTCCTTCTTAAGGTGCGTTGTTCTCCTTGTGTGTTTTGTATGCTTAAGGTGCATGAGTTGTTGAAACTTAAGGTGTGTGGTTTGTATTCTTAAGGTGCATG